ATGCTGTGCTGCTGAGCTATATCCCTGGCCCTACAGATATAGTCTGAAAAATTTCATGAAAATTGATATTTAAAGATAAATGTAAATAACCAGCTGTCTTTATGAAAATTATGTAACATGATTGAGATTTTTTTTCAGTGAATTTTCTTTAAGTTCGACTTTTTTCTTAGGAGATAGTTTAAGTCTTGGAGACAGTAGTGAGACATGAAGCTTCTCATAGATTTTTAGTCATTAAAATATTAGACTGCAGATGTAGCTCGATGATTGAGTACTTGCCTACCATGTATAAGTTCCTGGTTTTTATACCAAAAAGAAAAAGAAAGATCCCAAGATAAATTTAAAAAATACATATCTATCTATCTATCTTATACATTACATATGTATTTATATATACATATATATATATGTCATTAAACCAAACCTATCAAGAATTTTTTTAAAAACACTTTTAAAAGAATAAAAAGGTTTTTTTCAGTGTTGGTGAAAATGTTTGTTTTCCCCTGTTTTTGTTACTGCTTTTACCTTTCGTGCCAGGTTCTGAAAAGATCAGGAGAATACTTGAAGTCTTGAGAGCTGACGTCATCCAGGGCCTAGGGGTTCAGCTTTTAGAGCAGGTATATGATCTTTTAGAAGAGGAGGATGAAATGGAGAGAGAGGTGAGTGTTCTGCTGTTTATGTTATAGAATTTTTTAGTGTATTTTTGAAATATAATTCACATACCATTCAATGTGCCCTCTCACATGTATGTTTCAATGGTTTTAGTGTGTTCATAGAGTTACACAATCACCAGTGTTAGAACATTTTCACTAACCCCCTGCAGAGACCCTGCCCCTGTTAGCATTCATTCCCCACTGTCTCCTAAATCGTCCATCCCAAACAAGGACAAATATTTTCTGTTTTCTGTAGATTTGCCTGTTTTGGACAGTTATTTAAAGGGGGTCTTTAAAGAAGATACAGTCTTTTCTTTTTGCTTCTTTGACTCAGCATAATGTTTTCAGGGCTCACGCATGTTGTAGCTTGTATTCATGCTTCATTCCTTTATGTGGCCAAATAACATTTTATTGTATAGATTTTGTTTATCCATCAACTCATGGACATTTGTGGGGCTTTCGTTTTTTGATATGAATTATGCTGCTGTGAACACGCGTGGAAGTTTTTGTGAGGTTTCAGTTTTATCGGATATATATCTAGAAGTGGAATTGCTGGATCATTTAGTAACTTTACATTTAAATTGGGTGAAATTTCAGACTGTTTACATTATTACCAGCAGTGCAAAAAGTTCCACATCCTTGTTGCAAATGCATTTCTATTTCTGTGATGGTGGCTTTTGTTTTTAATTGTATTTGTGTGGTTTTTTTGTTTGTTTGTTTGCGTTTTTTTGGTACTGGGAATCAAACTCAGGACCTTGCGCCTGCCAGGCAGATGCTTGTGCTGCTGAGCTACATCCCCGTCCCAACTGTATTTGTGTGATATGTTACATTAATTGATTTTTGGTGGCCAGCCTTACATTTCTGAGATAATTCCCATTTGGTCATGATGTATACTCCTTATGTTTTACCAGACTCAAGTTTTCAGTATTTTGTTGAGGATTTTGTATTCATAATTCATATGACATAATTGGTCTTTAGTTTTCCAGTGTTGTCTTTATCTCATTTTGTAATCAGGATCATCATACTGGCTTCACAGAATGAATTGCAGAGTATTTCCTCATCTTCTAATTTTTGGAAGCTATTGAGGAAATGGCATTAATTCTTCTTTAAATGTTCTATAGACCTCACCATAATGGCATCTGGGCTAGGGCTTAACTTTCTGGTAATTTTTACTGACCGTGATTTCAGTGTCTTTACTTGTTATATCCAGATTGTCTTTTTCTTCCTGAGTCAGTTTCAGTAGCTTGAATCTCACAGGATCTCAGTAAATCTCAAACTTGCAATCTTTCTGCCTGTGTTTCCCAGAATTCTTGGATTACAGGCACATGCCACCACACCAGCTGCAGCTACTTTACATAATTTTATATCTCTTTACAAAGTTGAGAAAAGAAAGTATATTTGCAGCTTTGGTTATTGTAACTTTCTTATTTATCATTTCTTGATCTCTTCCTTTATTCCTGTGAATATAACTTACTGTCTAGAGTCATTTCCTTAGCCTAATGCAGTTTTGTTATTGACAAATATATTTCATTTGTTATAGACTCAAAAAATATACATTTTTAAAATTATTATAAATTATACATAATTTAAAATTACCACATTAGCCATTTTTTTTTTTTTTTGGTACCAGGAACTGAACTCGGGACCTCTCGCTTGCCAGGCAGGTGCTTGTGCCACTGAGCTCTATCCCCAGCCCCCACATTAGCCATTTTTAAGTGTATTGTTTACTAGCATTAAGTATATTCACATTGTTGTGCAACTGTTACCCATCTTCTGAACTTTTTCATATTGCAAAAGTGAAACTACACCTGTTAAACAATATGTGGTATGATAAAAATATGGAAATGTTTACTATTTAAGAAAATTAGTACAGTAAAATACACATTATTATTAATCCCTTTAAAATACTTCCATCCCACTGATCCCATTTTCTTGCCACTTTCTGAAGCAGTTCTAGAAATCCTTTTCAGGAGTCTCTGTAGTTGCACTGTTGTAGCTGCCTTGATGTCCTGCATCAGTTCAAAACATTTCTCTTTTATGGTCATTTTGACTTTGGGGAAGAGCCAGAAGTTGCGTGCTGCCAGATCCAGTGAGTAAGTTTGATGAGGACACACTGTAATTTTTATGAGCCTGTCTTTCCGTTGGATGGCACTCGGCAGCCGCATTCATTGTAGTTCTTGGTTTGAGACAGGATCTCTGTGTGGTTGATCTTGCTTGATAGCACTGTGTAGCAAAGCTGGTCTCAAACTCACAGCATTCCTCTTGTCGCAGCCTCCTGAGTGCTGAGAATACAAGCAGGCATTACTACACCCAGCTTCACCATAATTTTAATCGTATCTCACTAGAACATGAAAGGTTTCCAGAATTGCTCAGAAAGTGGCAAGAATGATGGGACAAGTGTGATTGAAGCAAGGGGGAGTATTCTGAGAACATTAGTGACAATGTGTCTTTTACCGTAACAGATTTTACTGTTTAAACTTCACTGTAGGGGCTGGGGATTTAGCTCAGCAGCACAGCGCCTGCCTGGCAAGCACAAGGTCATGAGTTCAATTCCCGGAACTAGAAAAAAATCAAAACAACAACAAAAAACTAAACTTCACTGTATATTTAGACCACACTTTATAATTCATCATTCCCTGCTTCTACCAGTCCTTGGCATCCACCTTCCTACTTTCATCTCTTGAGTTGATGGAGCAGTTATGTGAAGTCTAAAGGGACCATCTAGAAAAAGTAAAGTTTGTCCACCAAGAGAACTCTAGGCTCAGATGGATATGCTGGTGAAAGAAAGATATAGTACCAATATTGTGCAAATTCATTCTAGAAAACTTTAAGAGGGGATACTTTCCAACTCATTCCACAAGCCCAGCACACCACCAATTATAATCACTGACCAATACTGAAATTTTTTTAGTTTCATCTCTTTCAAACAAAGATACTGCGTGAAAAACTGTCAGGGCAATACCACTCATAAACAAAGGTGATCAAAGCACTTACCAGTCCAGTTATTTAAATACATCAAACACTGGATCTAACAGATACACGCCGATCTGCACCCAACAAGAGTATTGAGTTTTCGTATCAGAGAGGAAAAGTCTGTGTTATGAAATGGAAAGACAAAGAAGACATCTCCTATTGTCAACTATTCGTAATACCCAAACGACAGAACTTGAAGGAAGAAATGAAACTAAAAAAATGTTATTTTTATTTTTTAAATACATCTAGGATTGCGTGTTTGTTTTTTATAAGATAATAGGAAATATAAAAATGACAATTTTATCAGATTTATTCAGTGACTTTCCTGTGAATAGTATATCTTACAACATTCAGTACATGATGCAGCATTACAATCTGGACAGTAGTATGTGGCTTCTTCCTGAATTATTTTTGCAATATTGCTTACACTGTCCTGTTGGCCTTTTTGTTTGTTTGTTTTGTCTTTTTTGAGACAGGGTCTTGCTATGCAGCTCAGGCTGGCCTTGAGCTCACTTTGTAGTCCAGGCTGGTCTCCAACTCACAACGATCCTCCTGCCTCAGCCTCCCGAGCACTGGGATTACAGGTGTGCGCCACCATTCCCTGCTTGGCTTTTTCTTTTTTTCTGTGGGTGGTACAATTCCAATAAAGTAACTACCCACTAAACGTAATGGTGAAGACATCCTTAATGGACATCCTGGCTGGGTATTTTTCTACTAGACCTGATCTAAATTGTAAATGACGTTTTTAAACCACTTTATTTTGAGTAAACAAATGAGTTCCATCTTGTTTGGTTCAGAAGGTACATGAAGATTTTATAACAATTTTTTTTCCTTGCTTTTTGATTATAGGAGAGCTTGTTAGATGTTGGTCAGTTCTTGTCAACACTACCCATAGAATTATAATCACTGACCTATTAATATTGGAATTGTTTTAGTTTCATTTCTTCCTTCAAGTTCTGTCATTTGGGTATTATGAATAGTTGACAATAAGGAGATGTCTTTTTTGTCTTTCCATTTCATAACACAGACTTTTCCTCTCTGATACGAAAACTCAATACTCTTGTTGGGTGCAGATCCGCGTGTATCAGTTAGATCTAGTTGGTTTATTATATTAAGTCTTGTGTTAACTACCTAACATTTCTCCCTTTTTCAGTTCTTTCTTTTGCAGATATTTTGGTACTGCTTTCCTATCCAATTTCAGTGTCCCAAATGTGCCCATTTTGTATGCAAAAGAATATCACTGAGTTCTGGAAAAGCATAAAAATTATATCTAATGTACTTATAGTAAGAGTTTCTAAAGATTATAATACAAAATTATAGGTTGTTCTTTGCAAATAAATATGAATTAGTAAAATAAAATAACCAGAACTTATTACTAGATTTCACTAGAAACAAACATCAAGAACTGGACGTGATGGCATATGTTTAATCCCAGCACTCAGGAGGCTGAGGCAGGAGGATTGCTGTGAGTTTGAGGCCAGCCTAAATTGAGCCTTCAAGACTGTCTCAAGGCCAAGAATATAGCTCAGTGGCATAAGCGCCTGCCTGGCAAGCATGAGGACATGAGTTTGATTCCCGGTACCAAAAAAAAAAAAAAAGACTGTCTCAAAAGAGAAAGAAAGATCAATGGTGAACACAGTATTCTAAATAAAAAAAGTATGCAAAAGATAGTCAATATAAAACAAATAGATATACGAGCGTATCTTGTGCAAGTAAGAATGGACTGGTTAAATGACACCTACCGGAGCAACACTTGAGATAGTACATCAGCAAGTGTGCTGCCTGAGTGATGCTTGCAGTAAACTGTTAAGTGTTGATCAACTGGATTTTGTTAATGCTTTGTGCTTCAGTGGACATTAGGGACTGTGGTACATGTTTTTCTTTCCCTGTAGTGTTGCTGCCTGGTCCCGAAATCAAGCAATACAAGCCTTATAGAATGAGCCCAGAAGTACTTTTTCTTCTTCAGCTCTCTAGCAGAGTTTTAGAAGGATTGGCATTAATCTTTCTCCAAATGTGTGATGGGGTCTTCCTTG